TTTTTTTTTTTTTTTTGAGACAGAATCTCACTCTGTCGCTCAGGGTGGAGTGCAGTAGCGTGCTCTCAGCTCACTGCAACCTCTGCCTCCCGAGTTCAAAGATTCTCCTGCCTCAGTCTCCCGAGTAGCTGGATTTACAGGTGCCTGCCACCACACCCGGCTAATTTTTGTATTTCTAGTAGTAGAGACAGGGTTTCACCATATTGGCCAGGCTGGTCTCCAACTCCTGACCTCAAGTGATCCACCCACCTCGGCCTCCCAAAGTGCTAGGATTATGGACGTGAGCCACCATGCCCTGCCTAAACTTTTTTTAATTAACTTCTGTTTGTTTTCAGACAGGATCTCACTGTGTTGCCCAGGCTGGACACAGACTCCTGGGCTTAAGTGATCCTGTTGCCTCAGCCTCTCTAGTAGCTAGGATTACAGGCCTGTGCCACTGTGCCTGACATTTAAACTTATTGATTGAGGGTGAAGATGTGTATCTGAATGTGATTGGTGGAGAAATGTGTCCATTTCTGGTTTATGGTTAATAAGGAGTTAGGATGGTTTACTTTTAAGAAAGCAATCAAGAGCCTGGTTTAATCAGTAGAAGTAGGCAGATACTTAGTTAAGTGTACTATTTAGTTGTCCACATCTAATTTATTATACAGAGTCATTCTAATGGTTAAAACTACATTAGCCAAGGAGATGGATTCAACATGGTAAGCCTGAGAGAGCAATAGATACGTAAAAATGAGTATTTGAATTACTTCTTTCTTTGGAGAAATAAGTCATTAGTACAGGTACCTTTAGAAGAACTAACATAAAGAAAGATGTCTTTTATAAAAAGGAGAGATAAGTGGATTAAGGGACAGATTTACCATTTCTCATCTGGATACCGTTGTTGTCTAACTTCATTTGCCTAAAAATAAAGTGGAATTTCTGTTCCTCTCTACCGTGAAGGCAAAATGGAACAATAGGAAAATTTTCTAATCTACATATATGAAAGATTGTTACAAATACAAGGTAGTGGTATTATCTTACACCACTGGTTAATTTTTCCTTGTAAAAAGAACAGATGGCAGTGTGGCTCACACCTGTAATTTCATCACTTTGGGAGACCAAGGCGAGAGGATCACTTGAGGCCACAAGTTTGAGACCAGCTTGTCAACATAGCAAGACCCCCACCTCTACCAAAAAAATTTTAAAGTTAGCTGAGTGTGGTGGCACTCAATTGTAGTCCTGGCTACTCAGAAGACTCAGGAGGGAGGATTGCTTGAGCCCAGGAGTTTGAGGTTACAGTGAGCTGTGATTATGCCACTGCACTCTAGCCTGGGTGACAGAGTGAGACCCTGTCTCAAAAAACAAAACAAAAGAACATCTGATGAATTTTTATAAAGGTTTTAAGGTCTAGATCTTAAAAAATAATTGAAGGGAAATTTAAGGCATTAACATTTTCTGACTTAAAACCTGTACGTTCTCTTGACTAAAAGCTTTTACAGTTTGGTGGTTTGGTTTAGGGTTCCTTGTTTGTGGTTTTGCCTTTAGCCTTCACTTTTAAATATAGTTCTTAGTTTTGCCCTCAATAACCATAGTTCATTTTTTTCACATCAGGTATGAAAGTATCATTGCCACTCTATGTGAGAACTTAGACTCGCTGGATGAGCCAGATGCTCGAGCAGCTATGATTTGGATTGTGGGAGAATATGCTGAAAGAATTGACAATGCAGATGAGTTACTAGAAAGCTTCCTGGAGGGTTTTCACGATGAAAGCACCCAGGTAAGTTCTTGTCTCTTGTCTTTCCTAGTAGTTTTAGATGTCTTTGGGGAGATTTCAGAGAAAGCAAAGGTTATAGGCAGTTTCTTCTATGTCTATATTTATATATAGTATGTTCATTTTTCTGCCAACAGGGATGTCCCTTTTCAGTTTTACTGATTTTTTGTTTTTGTTTTTGAGACAGAGTCTCGCTCTGTTGTCCAGGCTGGAATGCAGTGGCAGAATCTTGGCTCACTGCAATCTCTGCCTCCTAGGTTCAAGCAATTCTCCTGCTTCAGCCTCCCCAGTAGCTGAGATTACAGGTGTGCACCACCACACCTGGCTAATTTTTATATTTTTAGTGGAGACAGGGTTTCAGGCTGGTCTTGAACTCCTGACCTTAGGTGATCCACCCATCTCGGCCTCCCAAAGTGCTGGGATTATGGGCATGAGCCACCACGCCTGGCCGGTTTTACTGAATTTTTTTTTTTTTTTTTTTTTTTGAGACAGTTTCACTCTGTTGCCAAGGCTGTAGTGCAGTGGCAGGATCTTGGCTCACTGCAACCTCTGCCTCCTAGGTTCAAACGATTCTCCTGCCTCAGCCTCCCGAATAGCTGGGATTACAGGCATCCACCATCACTCCCGGCTAATTTTTTGTATTTTTAGTAGAGACAAGGTTTCACCATGTTGGCCAGGCTGGTCTTGAACTCCTGACTTTAGGTGATCCACCCACCTCGGCCTCCCAAAGTGCTGGGATCACAGGTGTGAGCCACCGTGCCAGTTTTACTGATTTCTAATGTTAAAAACCTGCATAACTCAGACCAGTAGTTCTCAAACTTCAGTAAGCATTGTTAACACCTGGAGGGCTTTTTAAAGCACATGTTGCTGGGCTTCACCCTGACAGTATCTGACTCAGTAAGTCTGAGATGTGCCTAAGTATTTGTATGTTTTACAAGGTTCAGGGTGATGCTGATGCTGCTGTTAATCCAGAACCGCACTTTGACAACCACTGGCTTAGAGCAGTAGTTACCACTACTTTTTTATTTTCTGTCACCTAAAAATGACTACACTTTTCTGTTAGTAATGGCTGTGGCTCATTACAGCAGGGATTTTTCATTTAAGGCTGTGGTGAGGTTTGAAAAGATTATCTTTGAATGAAAATTCTGAGACTGCTTCTCACTTTCCCCTACCAAAATTAGAGCCACGGGACCAGGAAGCCGATAAATTATTAAGCCCTTTTTTCTTGGCATTTGTACTCAAAGCAAATAGAAAATTATACATGTAATCTACCATAGCAATTTTAATAGACCTAATTCAAGGAGTATGTACAAGTCAATAGCTTTGTGGTTTAGCAGCCAACTCTTAATAGGCTGTAACCTGACATAATTCTACTGTCCTGGCTGTTGCCCCAGTATGACAGATGATTCCATAATTCCCCCCAAATTGTAGCTTTTGGTAGAAGTAAATAATGAAGGACTTGCTCAAGAGCCAATATTATCACCATCAGTATGTTAACATATACTTTAAGAAATGTAAGCCAGGCTCAGTTACTCACGCCTGTAATCCCAGCGCTTTGGAAGACTGATGCAGGAGAATTGCTTCCAGCCAGGAGTATGAGACCAGCCCTGGCAACATGGCAAGACTACCTCTCTACAAACAATACAAAAACAAAAACAAAATTAGATGTAGTGGCTTGCACCTGTAGTCCTAGCTACTTGGGAAGCTGAGGCAGGAGGATTGCTTGAGTCCAAGAGTTTGAGGCTACAATGAGCTATGAATGTGCAGCCTGGGCAGTAGAGGGAGACCTTGTCTCAAAATAATAATAGTAATAATAATAAACACAGGTAACTATCTGGCTTAGAAACAAGCAATATTTTGTGCCAAAAATGCATTTTGAGGATAAAAGGATAGAGTTTTCAGTTGAATACCTTTGTATTTCCCACGAATACTTTTGACTGCTCTTGTTGATATTGAGTTTCAGCCTTTTGTCTCTTAACCAAAATCAGAAAGGCTCCATGGTAATTCATAGTTGGGGAAACACCACTTTGGAGATGATGGCAGGGAATAATGCCAGTGCCGTTCTTTCACTGTATCACAAATTATGTCTGTTTAGGTGCAACTCACTCTGCTTACTGCGATAGTGAAGCTGTTTCTCAAGAAACCATCAGAAACACAGGAGCTAGTCCAGCAAGTCTTGAGTTTGGCAACACAGGTAAGAAATCTGGAAAAAGAGAGATGTTGATTTGTCTTGTTTCAAATTGTAGGAAATTATGAAACTCTTCCTAGGGGATTCATTTGGGGAAGTTTTGTTTGAAGGAAGTATGACCTTTAGATCTTGTTAAAATATTAAAACAATGCCTTTTGTTCAGCTGAATTGTAGCTAATTGTATGGCTTTTAAATGAGTTGACTGACTCCACTTTTCATATTTCATGAAAATTGAACCTAGACTCTTAGTTTAGTGAAGGACATACTTAGATGAAAATGACATGGTCTGATAGTACCTGCTTCACTGTGACTTCATTTCAGCTTTCAAATGAAAGTACCATGTGCAGATAAAAGATGCCTGAGCAAAGTTTCATTCATTGTTCTACCTTCCAGAGTGTTTGCCTTTCTCTTGGAAATTAAGTGCTTATGCTGCTTCCTTGAATTATTTGATATATTTGGATCTCCTTGGAATTACTTGATTTTTTTGGTCAGAAGAAAAGAAGTTTAGATGGATTCTGATCTCAGGAAAGTGACAGCTGGCCTTAAAGATCAGGTCATTCTATTAGATCCACAGAAATCAAAATAATTAGGTTTTCTAGTATAACTGGTATAATGATCATCAGTCCATTCATGATTTAGTAATGTTCTTAATTGGATTTGCTAACAGGCTGGCATTTTAGCAGGCTGTCAGGGTTAAGATGTGTGTCTGCAAATGGAATATGATTCAGATATCCAGTTTACCATTTTTCTCTCTTTCTCATCCCTTTATACTGGTGCGTAATCAAAATTTAAAACCCTTTCACAGTACTTTGCCTAGTTCTGAGCCATAATTTTTCCTGTTACTAATTTTACAACTTTAAAAAATGTATTTGTATGAGCTTGTACAACTTTAAAATAATTTATTTGTACAAGCTATTTTGAAGTATTTTAAAAACTTTCTTAAGGATCTTCCTCTGCCTGAAGCAAAGCAATTTATAAGCATCAGTGGTTAATATTAGTATTGAATTGAGTGTTCTGATTTCCTGTGTCTGGATCCTTGATTAACCCATTTGAATCTCTAAGATGAATTCAAAACAATTTCTTTATTCCTCCCACCCCCCCCACTTTTTTTTTTTTTTTTTTGCACTCTTTCATGTTTTAATTTTAAACTCCTAAGTCAGGGGTGTGCAATGTTTTGGCTTCCCTGGGCCACGTTGGAAGAAGAATTGAGAATTGTTTTGGGCCACACATAAAACACACTCACAATAGCTGATGAGCCCCCCCAAAAAAAAAATTGCAAAAGAATCTCATAAAGTTTTTTTTTTTTTTTAAGAATATTTTAAGCCTATTGTCCTTTAATCACCATTTGCTTACACATTGAAATGTAAAACAGGCAAAAGAGAAAGAAGGAAGAAAGGAGGGAAGGACGGAGGGAGAAAATTGAGAGAGAAACAAAGATAAAAGAAAAAAGAAGAAAGAAGAAAGGAAGGAAAGGAAGGAAGGAAGAAAGAGAGAGAGAGAAAGAAAGGAAAAGAGAAGAAGGATGGAAGGAAGGAAGAATAAAAGAAAAAAGAGAAAGAGAAAGAAGGAAGGAATGAAAGAAGGAAAGAAAGAAAGAAAGAGAGAGAAGGAATCTCATAAAGTTTTAAGAAAGTTTATGAATTTGATTTGGGTCACATGTGGCCCCAGGTTGGACAAGCTTGCTGTAAGTGGTCACATAGAATGACAGAATTAGAGCAGCTCACATTTGATCAAAACAATTTCTAAAGAGAATTTTGGCCTTTCTTCCCCTCTGCTTACTGTAAATATCCAAGCAAGTATGTTTGGTAGTTTCATCTGTTTTCACAAGTTCTCAACCCTATCATCATTGTCTGTTAAGGCCTATGTGTTTGTATGTAACAGGCACCATAGGAGAGCTGTATTACGCATTCTGGCCAGATTTCACACTCAGTCTCATTACCTCTTAAGTATTTATCAAAATTTGACTGAGATAAAGTATTTAGGAAGGATTGCTTAAAGGATACACGTAGTGCTGTTCTTACAGATAGTCTGAAATTCACCTCTGAATCAAGCCTTATTAATAGACATCTGGATACCTGTACTGCATTGTTTTTGACCCCTAATAAAATTGCTTTTACTAAATTACGCGAATACTATCAGTCTGTACTAATAACAGTCGTCATGGAAAACTACCCAATTTGGATCTGTTGTTAGCTTGTTATCAAAGTCATTACTTTTCTTTGTGAAGCCCCATCAAATTCCTGACAAGTTTTGGAATTTTCTGTGTATCAGTGTAGCATGCCTGATCAGCTTTCTTTTCCATATTGGTTGTTTGAAACCTTAGAATCACATTTAACCATCTCCCATGGAAACTGTGTAGGCCATTGTGGCATGCAGTTTCCTGACTCTAGTTTCAATTAATGCTGTTTAGCCTTAGATGCAATTTTCATAAGCTTCCTAGAACAGGACAGGCTAGAAACTCACTTAATCCTAGCAAGGGTTAGGAAACTATTTCTGTTTTTATAGATGAGGAAACTCAGAGAGGCCTAATTATTGTGGGGCAGAGGTAGAACTCAGACTCAGATATGTCTGGCTCTAAGGTCCATGGTCTTGTCCACTGTGCTATGCTTCCTCTAGTCTGAAGGTTAAGAATGACTTGGAGAATACATATTCCCTGCCTGAAGCAATATTAAGCATAAGCCCATATGTATATGTGTGTTTGCTAGTTTTGAGGTCTTTGTGGATGATTGTTTCATACTATAAATAATAAGCAATTTCTCAAGGCTTGCCTTTTTTCAGTATTGAGTCTAGCTCTGTCACCCAGGCTGGAGTGCAGTGGCATGATCTCAGCTCACTGCAGCCTCCGCCTCCTGGGTTCAAACAATTCTCCTACCTCAACTTCCTGAGTAGCTGGGATTACAGGTGTATGCCACCACGCCCAGCTAATTTTTTTTTTTTTCAGTAGAGATGGGGTTTCACCATGTTGACCAGGCTGGTCTCGAACTCCTGACCTGAAGTGATCCTCCTGCCTTGGCCTCCCACAGTGCTGGGATTACAGGTGTGAGCCACAGAGCCCACCTGAAGGCTTGCTTTTTCTATCCAATTAATTTTTCTGTCTAATTAATTAATTAAGTCTGAGAAGTTATCATAAAAGAGTAAGTATGCTGCTGGGTGCTTTGGCTCACGCCTATAATTCCAGCATTTTGGGAGGCCGAAGCAGGCGGATCACTTGAACTCAAGAGTTCAACCAGCCTGTGCAACATGGCAAAATCCCATCTCTACAAAAAATACAAAAATTAACTGAGCATAGTGGCACACGCCTGTAATCCTAGCTACTTGGGAGGTTGAGGTGGGAGGATCGCTTGAGCCCAGGAGGCAAAGGTTGCAGTGAGCTGAGGTCGTGCCACTGCACTCCAGGCTGGATAATACAGTGAGACACTGTATCGGGAAAAAAAAAGGAAAAAAAGAATAAGTATGCCCATGTAAGTCTTTTCACATGGTTCTCTTTTTTCCTCAAGTTTGTGAAATAAGAACCTAAATATTTATGGCTGGTGAGTACCAATTTAAGTTTAGGATGCAATGTGGTCTGCTGAATTGTGTTAACTTAATTGGGTAGTGAGGTTCTGGTGATGCTACTTCCACTGATTCAGGACATGACTGAGCAAATTTCTTTCATACTGCTTTTCTTCTGTCTGTAAAGTAGAGTTAATTAATACTGTTTTTACTTGTGCTGTGAATTAAGTGAAGTATATATATGTGAAATCTTAGTGCTTTTAATTTTAAGTAAAATGGGAGTATAATTAAAAATATTATTAGGGGGGAAAACCCAACTCTTGAATCTGAGGCTTCATTTCAAAAATTTATCATTTTACCTGTTACACAGAAAGTCAATACAGTAGTCGGTTCAAGTCAGTAAAGAATACAAACAGAGGCCGGGCGCGGTGGCTCATGCCTGTAATCCCAGCACTTTGGGAGGCCGAGGTGGGCAGATCATCTGAGGTCAGGAGTTCGAGAGCAGCCTGACCAACATGGAGAAACCCCATCTCTACTAAAAATACAAAATTAGCTGGGCGTGGTGGCATGCGCCTGTAATCCCAACTACTGGGGAGGCTGAGGCAGGAGAATCACTTGAACCCAGGATGCAGAGGTTGCAGTGAGCCGAGATTGCCCCATTACACTCCAGCCTGGGCAACACAACCTACACTCTGTCTCAAAACAAAACAAAGCAAAATAAAACAAAAAAATATCTAGACGTTAGTAATTATTCTTTGTGATACATGGAAGAGAGGTCTTCATGTTTTTCTGTCTATGAACTAGGGGCCACCATCATCAGAATCACTTGGGCTGCCTGTTAAAAATACTAATTACTAGGCCCTACTTCTGATAGAATGAATCAGAATCTCTGAAGTATGGCCTCTGGGTTCTGCACTTTCAGTGGCATTCCTGGCATGTTAAAATGTTGATGCACATTATAGTTTAAGAATTACTGTTCTAGTGCTGGCCTGGTAAGTATTATTTTGGGAGCTCTTCCCCTGAGGAGGGCATGTGGGTCTTAGCAGTACAGTAGATCCAAAGCCAAATTATCTGAGTCACCAAACATTTAATGGCAACTTAAGATCACAAAAAGGTCCCGTATTTTTATTTATCTCGGTCTTGACGGTCTGAATTACTGTGGCCTCCATGTAAAATATGAGGTAGTTGGTGAGGGCTGGCTTACAGTAAGACTAACAGGTCATCCCTCAGAACAAACAGAGTTTGAGCAGTAGGAGATTCTTCCCTACTCCTGACTTTTCAGTCTTGGGAAATTTGCACTCATTTCTCATAGGATTGTATTTTTCAAGTTAGTGTCTATTTAGACTTTGATCCAGTAACTCTATCTCCAGCAGTTTGCCATATAGCAGCATTTCAAATAATTTGTGGAGGAACTCTCAAACTTTTTTCATATGTGTGTATATATGTATGTATATATATACACTTTTTTTTTTTTTTTGAGATGGAGTCTCACTCCATTACCCAGGCTGCAGTGCAGTTGTGCAATCTCAGCTCCCTGTGGCGGCCTCCTCCACCTCCTGGGTTCAAGTGATTCTCCCTCCTTAGCCTCCCAGGTAGCTGAGATTACAGGCATCTGCCACCATGCCTGGCTAATTTTTGTACCTTTGGTAGAGATGGGATTTTGCCATGTTGGCCAGGCTGGTCTCAAACCCCTGGCCTCAAGTGATCAGCCCACCTCGGCCTCCCAAAGTGCTAGGATTACTGAGCCACCATGCCTGGCTAGATTTTTGAATTTTGTGAATCCCTATGGGAATTTTTCTTTTTTTTCTTTTTCTTTTTTTTTTTGAAACAGAGTCTCACTCTGTTGCCCAGGCTGGAGTACAGTGGCCAGATCTCAGCTCACTGCAAGCTCCGCCTCCCGGGTTTATGCCATTCTCCTGCCTCAGCCTGCTGAGTAGCTGGGACTACAGGCGCCTGCCACCTCGCCCGACTAGTTTTTTGTATTTTTTTTTTTAGTAGAGATGGGGTTTCACTGTGTTAGCCAGGATGGTCTCGATCTCCTGACCTCATGATCCGCCCGTCTCGGCCTCCCAAAGTGCTGGGATTACAGGCTTGAGCCACCGCGCCCGGCCGGGAATTTTTCTTTTGGGTCATTTGGTTAAATTGTTTGCATTACATATGGGAGAAATAATTTGAAGAAAAAGCATTTTATTTTGATGAGTATATTATTAAACCATGTATTATAAAGTTGAATACCTTTAAGATATTACTGGCACATAAAGACAAACTGAATTTTCTAAGTTAATAAGATAAATGCAGTGTTTAATTGTGTAATAAAAACCATACTTTACAAATTCTAAAGTACATGGACTTTAAGGACTGCATATATAGCTTAAAGTTTAACATTTAATTTATGTATAAAAAAATGTGGGAGAGAGGGGTTGCTTCCCTGACCTGATATTTTGAGAAACTTGTATTCTGCTCTTTTTAAAAAATCAACTTGTTTTTGTTTTATAATGTTTGAGCTTTGTTTTCAAATGAAAATCTAAATAAGGAGGTTTCAGGCTGCTATTTATAAACACTTAGGTGCAATTTAGTCCCTCAACCTCCCCCCCCAAAAAAAAACAAAATCAACTAAATTTCTAATTATCACTGTTTCCTTTTTTTAACCCGGGCATTTCAAATACTAGAGACATTTTGATAAGACATTCATACATATACATATGCATATACATACATTTCTATTAGAATAATACAACTTATAAATGTGGTAAAAATTATCTTGAGATAAAATTTACTGTTTTAATAATTTTATTAATTTGCTGTATTGCAATGTTCTTTATGCTTTTTGTCTTTAACCAACAATCCATTATAAGTGCAATTTAAACAATCTGTGACTGAGAAAAACTATTTGAATCTATAGAGTCAAAAATAATCAGGGTAACTGCTGCAATTGAACTGGATGATAAGGGCCTTAAGTGGCTGAGTCATGAACCAATTCATCTACTCACTTAGAAACTAAAATGGAAGCCCTCAAATTGTCCTATTTTAAAGAAAATATTTTTTGTTTGGTTATGAGTTTTTTTGGTTTTCGGGGTTTTTTTGTTTTTTGGGGGGGGTTTTTTTTGTTTTGTTTTGTTTTGTTTTTGAGACGGAGTCTCACTCTGTCGCCCAGGCTGGAGTGCAGTGGCGTGATCTAGGCTCACTGCAACCTCCACCTCCTGGGTTCAAATGATTCTCCTGCCTCAGCCTTCCTAGTAGCTGGGACTACAGGCATGAGCCACTGTACCTGGTCTGGTTATGAGTTTGAAATACAGAAGTTGAAACAGGGACTTATTGTTGCCTTTAATAAGTTGCTATTGGAACAACTCCTGCATAAATAAATGCCATCATATAGACATACTTTTGAGGTAGGTACCAGGATATTTATTGCCACTTTATAATGATCACACAAAAAATAAAGAAATAAAACAATAGGCCAGGCATGGTGGCTCATGCCTGTAATCCTAGCACTTTGGGAGCCTGAGGTGGGCGGATGACTTGAAGTCAGGAGTTCGAGACCAGCCTGGCCAACATAGAGAAACCCTGTCTGTACTAAAAATACAAAAATTAACTGGGTGTGGTGTTGCGTACCAATAATCCCAGCTACTTAGGAGACAGAGGCAAGAGAATCACTTGAACCCAAGAGGCAGAGGTTGCAGTGAGCCGAGATCACACCACTGTACCCCAGCCTGGGTGACAGAGCAAGACTCTGTCTCAAAATACATATATACATACATACATACATACATACATACAAAACAATAATAAAGGTAGAAAGGGAAAAACGGGCAACAGTCTAAATGTCCCTCAGTAGGGGACTAATATTTAATGGTGCAGTGGACGTTACAGTGGAAAAGTGCAATTGTATACATCAACATGGAGAACAACTTCAAAACAGTATATATAATATGAAACTCGTTTTATATGAAATAAGTGTGTGTGTGTCCCATCTGGACAGATATACACCACATTACTAATCATGGCTATTTGGGGGATTGGGAGTTGAGATGGAGAAGGGTTGGATAATTGGGGGAAGTTTTTTTTTTTATGTCATACACTTATAAATTGTGATGCGGTATGTTTGGTAATAATTTCTTTTTAACCGTGAACATGTATACAATTATTTAAAAACCACCATAGCACAAAACAAGACCACCAAATTCAAGTGTCACGCCTTTTGGAAGCAGTTATGTCTTCTCTTTAACAGTTTTTGATTATTTAGATAATAGTACCTTTCATACTCTATTGAAATAGTTAATATTATGTGAGCTCCTTAAAGTCAGGCAGTGTATTGTTACCTCTTTATTTCCAGGGCCTAGCCAGTGTCTCAATAGGAGGTACTTAATAAATATTTGCATGAAGGAAGAAGGTATGAGTACAATGTATGTAAGATATAATATATGTTATTAATAAGCCTGCTAATATTTAAAGCAGTTAAAACATTCTTTTTTTTTTTTTTTTTTTTTTTTTTTTTTTTTCACGGAGTTTTGCTCTTATTGCCCAGGCTGGAGTGCAGTGGAACAATCTCAGCTCACTGCACTCCGCCTCCCGGGTTCAAGTGATTCTCCTGCCTCAGCCTCCTGAGTAGCTGGGATTATAGGCATGTGCCACCTCACCTGGCTAATTTTTTGTATTTTTAGTAGAGACAGGGTTTCACTGTGTTAGCCAGGATGGTCTCAATCTCCCGACCTCAGGTGATCTTCCCGCCTCGGCCTCCCAAAGTGCCGGGATTACAGGCATAAGCCACCATGCCCAGCCCTAGTTTAAAAAATTTTTATGTTCTAAGGCCGTCTCAACCAGTTAACTTTTACCAGATTAAGCATTAGTTTTCTATTCCTTATTTCTGTTTGAATTTGAGTCTTAGGATTAACCCATCTTAATTTATAGTTACATCCCTTGAAACATTAGAGATTACAGAATTATGACTACATTAGAACCATATTGAGTTAACACATTTGCTTGCTTTTTGAGACAGTCTCACTCTATTGCCCAGTCTGGAGTGCAGCGGTGCAGTCATGGCTCACTGCAGCCTCAACCTCCTGGGCTCAAGTGATCCTCCTCCCTCAGCTTCCTGAGTAGATGGGACTACATGTGCATGCGGCTCTACACCCTGCCCTGCTAATTTTCTTATTTTTATTATTATTATTTTTTGAGACAGAGTTTTACTCTGTTGCCCAGACTGGAGTGCAGTGGCACAATCTCAGCTCACTGCAACCCCTGCCTCCTGAGTTCAAGCTATTCTCCTGCCTCAGCCTGCTGAGTAGCTGGGATTACAGGCACGCGCCACCAAGCCCAGCTAATTTTTGTATTTTTAGTAGAGATGGGGTTTCGCTATGTTGGCCAGGCTGGTCTCAAACTCCTGACCTCAAGCGATCCACCCACCTTGGCCTCCCAAAGTGCTGGGATTACAGACGTGAGCCACCGCGCCCAGCCCGTCCTGCTAATTTTTTATATTTTTTGTAGAAGCAAGGTTTTGCCACGTTGCCCAGGCTGATCTCAAACTCTTGGGTCCAAGTGATCCGCCTGTTTCAGCCTCCCAAAGTGTTAGGATTACAGGCATGAGCTACGAGCTACCATGAAATATCTTCTTAATACCCCGTCTGCATAAATCACTACAGCATTGGTTGATAAATCCAGCAGTTTGGGTTTCTGTATGGAGAACAGTTTCATCTCTACCTCCTTGCCTTTGCCTTTTCTTTAGGATTCTGATAATCCTGACCTTCGAGACCGGGGCTATATTTATTGGCGCCTTCTCTCAACTGACCCTGTCACGGCTAAAGAAGTAGTCTTGTCTGAGAAGCCACTGATCTCTGAGGAGACGGACCTTATTGAGCCAACTCTGCTGGATGAGCTAATCTGCCACATTGGTTCTTTGGCCTCTGTGTATCATAAGCCTCCTAACGCTTTTGTGGAAGGAAGTCATGGAATTCATCGTAAACACTTGCCAATTCATCATGGGAGGTAAGAAGGTGTGAACTGTCTTTGAGTGAGAAATGACTCTGTTTAGACAGAGTTGGTCTTCTTTATGCTTTTATAGTCTGGAAAAGAACTTGCTGTACATTTTTGCAAACCTGCTACTGTACAACCCCAGGGAGCTCCAACTGAATACCAGTGACCACATATAAAATGGGTGAAAGACTCCTCTGTGTTCCAATCTAAGAGTACATTATGGCTTTAGAAAATTGTGGTGAAGACCTTCTAAATTGATGAAGTCTGAAAGTTGCTTAAGTCTGCGGTAAGAAGAGAATAGAAATAATCCCATAGTTGAAAACTTGGAAAAAAGCCTGTGTATACATTTAGCCATCTTGACCCTTTACTGTAGCTTTTGTTGAGCCTTATGGAAAGTTAGTAGGTACAACTTATGCTGTAAAACTGTTAATGAAATAATATTTCAGTATTGTTTTACTAAAAAAAAAAAAGCCTGACTTCTGTGTGGACTTAGTTTTTCAGTTACCTGTACCTTTTTAAATTGGCCATTTCAACAAGGAAATTGATATGAACAGGCTCTTGGGTAACATGGAGCTCTTACTTTGTAGCTGTCCTAAAGTTCTAATTAGGGAGAAGAAACACTCTAATAAACTCTTATAATGGGTATCTCAGAATCTTTTCAGAATCTGATTCCTTCATCAATCATAATAGACCTTGATCAAAGTAGGATTTCCTTCCAGAGTAGTTAGAATAATTGGGCTTTTATTAATGAGTGTCTTGTTCCATTGTCTAATGTATATTATTGTTTAAGTGGTTTTTGTGAATGGCCGAAGTGTAGTATTTATTGCTTTACAAATTGGTGTGGTCAGCATTTTGGGCTCTATGTAAATAGACTGTGGATTCAGACAAATGAAAAAGAAACAGCAACATCCAAGGAGATTATTAATCTTTCATGATTGAGTTGAATCTTTGGTTTTACAGCAGGTGCTATAATTTTAATCCAGAGGAGATATGAGCTTCATAAGGATTAGTCCTTATAGTAAGTTAGGGTGTTTCTCCTTGTAGGCAAGCATGTTTAACATTCTATAGATGAGACTATTTAACTTCTAAGAACTTCTCCCAGTCTGTGCTTCAAGTTTCGATGTAGATACGGAATTTCTGTTGTAACTTCCCTCTGTAACTGTGTTTGTATCTAGCCTCCTGATAACTTTTAACCCTCACATGGAAGTGGGAAAATGAATCAATAAGCAAAAACAACCCTTTCTTAAATGCAGGGAGAGAACCAACATTAAGTTATCTAAAAAGAAAGTGTCTTACATAAGGCCTTTATCTGATTAATAGCCTTTAAGTTCTTATCTTCACAATTTCTTTTGTGGTTCCTTTTTGGATAACCTCCTTTTTGTCTGTTTGTGCATGTTTTGTGTTTTTAAGGGAAATGCAAATATAAGGAAAATCTGTTTTGATATAAATGGGGATGATACGTTGCTGCAAATGACATGTCTGTAATAGTATTGACATTACCTAGTTCTGTTCTGCAGTGTAAGATTAATAAGTGATACACCTCTCATAGGAAACAAAGCAACACTTTAAAGCCTTATTCTGCATCTTCTAGAGGTTTAAAAATGCTCACTTCACTAGGTCTTTTAAAATCACCTGGGAAAGAGAGAAGTGATTTTTTACTTGGATGTTGCTTACTATGCTTATACTTGTCAGCTGCTTCGTGGGGGTGAGGTAGTAAATAGTTGTCTAATTCGGAAAAATCTCACCTTTGAAAAATACTGCTTTGATGACAGTTATGCAGTTATTTCTCTTAAAATTAGAAATGTCATTATATTAATTTTCTTGTATTTTCCATTGAGAAAGGATGTATAATAATGATGTATCATATTCTTCTAGAATCTGTAGGATCATTTATATCTTTTCATTGAACTCACTTCTCCTATTATTCATTCCATTAGAGTGAAGAAAAATATGTGCGGAATACCTATTCTACCTTCTTTTTAGACATACTGATAGAACCATGTGTTCTGTCACATTTTCTAAATGGTATATGTCAGAAGATGACAGAATTTCATGTGTAGAGAATATGAAAGATTTTATGTATTTCTTGCCAGGTGTATGAAATCATTTCCCCTTTTTATTTCTTAAAGCCTTTTCATCGTGACTTCCTGGACACTTTTTCCTTGTAAATCAGCTTTCCTAGATTGTATCTCTGTCATTAATCTTTGCAGTTCCATGTTTATTCTCTTCTCTGGTTACTGATCTTGGTTGTATCAAAAGGTTCGATCTGAACCTTTTCTTTCTGTGTTTCTCTACATATTCCCTTAGGGAAATTACCCACTAACCACTAATATATTACAGAGCTTTACCAGTTAGACCATGTTTTCAGTTGATTCTTGCTCTAATAAAACCTTATGCTTCCGTGATATTGTTACCATTTTATTGATGAGGAAATTTTGTCTCACAGAGGTTGTTGCTTGCCAGAAATTATGCAGCTAGTAATTACTGGAGCCAACACCTAATCCCCTGCTTTTACCACCACCCTACACTGCCCCCCACCCTCATGTTTTCACCTGAGATGTGTATGTGAATTTCTAACCAAGCTTACTTCTCTGACTGCCAGTCCTTTGGTTTTGTTGTTTTTGTTTGTTTGTTTGTTTTGTTTTGTTTTTGAGATGGACTGTCACTCTATAGCCCAGGGTGGAGTGCAGTGGCTCAATCTTGGCTCACTGCAACCTCTGCCTCCTGGGTTCAAGAGATTCTCCTGCTATAGCCTCCTGAGTAGCTGTGACTACAGACGTGTGCCACCACATCCAGCTAATCTTTTTGTGCTTTTAGTAGAGATGGAGTTTCACCGTGTTGTCCAGGCTGGTCTCGAACTCTTGACCTCAGTAATCCACCTGCCTTGGCCTCCCAAAGTGCCAGGATTAGAGACGTGAACCGCCGCGCCCGGCTGGAATATGAACAGGTTCTCAATTACCCAGCCCAGTGCTCTACCCTGAGACTCTGGGTGTGAGCCACCGTGCCCAGCCCAGTCCCTTGTTTCTGTCAAGCTTCTCTACTTGTTTTTCTTACTTATTTTATCAGAATTGAGAACTGCGCATAAAAGTTTTCCTGTCATCCTTCTAGATTCCCCTGTGATTATTAGAGGTGTAACTAATCTTTTACTTCTCAGTTTTTGTTTGTGTCAAAGCTTACCTAGGCTTTTTTAGAAGAAAACATTTGTTTATTAATTAAATTGTTACAGTGTTTTTTTACTTTTTTTTTTTTTTTTTTTTTTTGAGATATAGTCTCACTCTGTCTCCCAGGCTAGAGTGCAGTGGCATGACCTTGGCTCACTGCAAGCTTCCCCTCCTGGGTTCAAGTGATTCTCGTGCCTCAGCCTCCTGAGTAGCTGGGACCACAGGTGCCTGCCACCACTCCCAGCTAATTTTTAATTTTTTTGTATTTTTAGTAGAGATTGAGTTTCACCATGTTGGTCAGGCTGGTCTCGAACTCCTGACCTCAGGTGATCTGCCCACCTTGGCCTCCCAAAGTGCTAGGATTACAGGTGTGAGCCACCACGTCTGGCTGTTTTTTTGTTTGTTTGTTTGTTTTTACTTTTTATCATATAAATCTTAAAATATGCAAGATAGAGTGGTATAACAAACTTGGATATACCTATCACTCAGTTTCAGCAGTTATCAGTATCTTGCCAATGTTATTTCATTTATTGCCCCACAGTTGTTTTTGAGATGGCTCAAATATTTTAAATCCAATCCCAGACCTCGTTATCTTTTCACCCATAAGTACTGTACTTGTTATCTTTAACAGATAAAGACTTGAAATTACAATGTTATCAAGCCTAACAAAATTGGACATAATTACTTAATATCATCCAATAAGCAGGCTAACCTACTTTCAGATTTTCTCAGTGGCCATTCTCTAGTCTCGTTTAGAGTTTATGTAAGATTGGTCTTACTTTTTCCTTAAATGTTTGGAGGAATTCACAGTGAAGCCATCTGAGCCTGGAATTTTCTTGGTAGGACTTTTACTTTTTAAATTGACATCTAATTTATAATAACCTTAGCATTAAGGTTATTGCCTGACCTTTGCCTGGTCAGGATACCACGGCCATTGAACGTATGTCACTGGGCAGGCAGTGCCTCTAATACTGGTAATGCTAGAGGTGATGTTTTTGGTAAACAAGCTGGGTACTTTTTGTGATCTTTCCTTAGAGCATGCCTGTGTCGGATTAACAGTATAAATAATAGGGTGCTTATTATATTGTTTATTAATGTTAGGCTGTCAGTGGATTATTCTGGTCTGATGTAAGCTTATGCAGTGGAGAATATCTTCATGTTACTTATATTAACATTATTGCTTCTATTAAGTAATAGATTAGTCCAATCTGTTAGTAATAGATTAGTTCACTAATCTTAGCATTTAGTGTTCAATGAATGTTTACATATGTATACACTCATATAATCACTACCCTGATCAGATATAGAATATTTTCAGCACCCTAGAAGGTTCCTCATGTTCCTTTACTGTCAGTGTGCACACTCCAGAGATTACCACTGTTCTGATTTCTATCGCTATAGATTCATTTTGTCTCCGCCTGAGTGTGATATAAATGGAACCTACAGTTTTTACTCTTCTATGTCTTGTGTCTTTTGCTCTACATAATGTGAGGTTAATCTGTGTTTTTAGTAGTTTGCTCCTTTTTATTGGTGTGTAGTATTCCATTCCATGAATATACTATTTATGTCTTCTGTTGCATCTTTGGGTTATTTCTAGTTTGTGGCTGCTATGAATATTCTTGTATTTGTCTTTTGGTAGACATATACGTATTTATCTCGGGCATATACCTAGGAGTAGAATTGCTGGATCGTAGAATAGGTTTCTATTTAGCTGTAGGAGACACACGCTGCCAATTTTCCAAAGTAGTTGTACCGGTGTATACTCCTAGCACTGTATGAGTTCCAGGTAATCTACATTGTCAGCACTGCTTGGTATTATTGATCTTTTTAGTTTTAGCCATTCTGGTGAGTGTATAGTGGTGTCTTGTTATAGTTTTAATTTGCATTTTCCTGTTGAGTAAAGTTGCTAAGCACATTTTCATGTTACTGTATCCTCTTTTGCGACTTGCCTGTTTTTAATGATTTGTCTTTTTCTTAATGATTTGTAGGAATTCCTTATATAATTTGGATGCAAGTCCTTTGTTAGGTATATGTGTTGTGAATATCTTCTCTCAGTTTGTAGAGAGTATCTTTTCCCAATTTCTTAATGGTGTCATTGGAAGACATGTTCTTAATTTTAATGAAGTCCAGTTTATTACTTTTTTCTTTTGTGGCTACTGCTTTTTGTTGAAACCATTATCTCCTCCAGGCTTATAAGATGCTACTCTAGGTTTTCAACTAGGTTTTACCTTTCACATTTATGTCTGATTTATCTCAATTTTTGTTTACCTTGTGAATTATAGGGAGCCAAGGTTCATTTTTCCCCCACATAGCTGTGCAGTTAACCCACACCATTTATTGAAAAGATCATCATTTCTCTTACCTAGTCCTTTTAAAATGTCTTGGAACTCACCACTTTCTTTTTATTTTTATAGCTTGTTGAGCTTTTATTATTTCATACATAGTTGACAACAGTAGCAGTTTAGATTACTCTTAGCTGATCTTCATGTCCATTCTCCTAACTTCAGTTCATTATATACACAGGTGCTAGAATAATGTTCCTCTAATGTTATTTTTAGTTTCTGTTCTTTGTTCAAGAAATAAAAGTGATTCTGCATTTCTTTTATAAAAAATCAGCTCTCTAGACTAGTTTTCAAAGTTTTATTTTCCTTATTCTCTCTTCCCCCGAATTTTACCAATCCCAAACTCTACTCCTGCCAATATAATTTTTTTACCACCCCTGAAGTCAAATTGTTCATTTCTGTGCCTTTGTACAAACCTTCTCTTCCTCTTTGGAGGTTTCTCTCTCGTAGTTCCTCATAAAACCATTCTGAGAAGCTTTTTTTGTTGTGTTACTCGTATCCTATCAATTATACAGACACACAATACATGTTTCTGCTGTTACGCAGTAAACTTGCTTTTTAGTCATTTTGTAAATGCTGATTTTTTTTGTTGGTGTGTAAGCCATTGAGGGCAGGAACCATATATTTTACAGTTTCTACAGAGAACCATAGAATTCTCTTTACAGTGTTCCCTCATAGATGTTTAATTAAAATTGACCAATTATATTATATAACTGACAAGGTTTACATCATATAATTTATTTTCATTTTAGCAACTGTATTTGATAAAAATAAGAGTTGCTATTATCTCTTCATGAGCATAAACAAATGGTTATAAAATCAGAGGGTTTTTTTCCCCCTTGTATTTGATAGTTATATATAGCTATATGTTTAACTACTGTTGCCATATTATGTCCTAGGTGAAACTGACTTTTCTCTTTTGTCCATTTTATGTGTATGTGATTTTAGCACTGATGCAGGTGACAGCCCTGTTGGCACTACCACTGCAACGAATCTGGAACAGCCTCAGGTTATCCCCTCTCAAGGTGATCTTCTAGGGGATCTTTTAAACCTTGACCTCGGTCCCCCAGTCAATGTGCCACAGGTGTCCTCCATGCAGATGGGAGCGGTGGATCTCCTAGGAGGAGGACTAGATAGTCTGGTAAGCATCTTTCTTCCCTTGTTCTTTTGGTTATTTTTAGTTCTTGATATGCTAGAGAGTTTTAAATTATTCAGCTTTTTAGAACTAGACCTTTCCTTGATGAGCAGTAATGTCCTTTGATAAAGGACAGGATTCTTTGTCTTTAGTAAGGCAAAATTATAATTAATACTGTTCATCGTCGGTAATGGGGTATGTCTGCAGGTGTATGGGATTATTTCATTGTCCTGCATCTAAATAGAACTTTTGACATTTAACCATCCTATTGTTCAGCAATTTTAACGTTTAGTATCTTTTCCAGAGTTTATTATTGTTCCTAGCTCTTAACTCTGGATAGCCCACATCAATTCTCCTTTTGACCTGAACGACATTAAAGTGACCTCACACAAATCATCCTATTTTGAGGCTTTCAAACCTTTGCCTTTTTTATATTTTATTTACTTATGCCCTAATTCTGAAAGGTTTTGAGGCAGCCTTTTTTTTTTTTTTTTTTTTTTTTAAGTAAAATGTACCTTTATTACAGTTGGAAAGGGCTGCTTGATTGGTTCTTTTTTTCCCTTCTTCCCCACCTACTCCATTCTATCATACTTCCAATTTAATTAGCTTCCAGGATTCTAATACTAAAAGGCTCCAAAATCCAGAATATCTGTGAACATTTGCCACCAATGGGAACCAAAATTATTTTTTGTTTCTGTACAAGATAAATGAATTTTGAGGGTGACCTTCAATCTATGAAGAGAAGGCCAGAAAAATAACAAGTCTATCACATGACTGCCTTAAACTGTGATGGAATTAGAGAGGCTTTTCTAGCAGACCCTTGCAAAAGAGATTTTTGTCAACCCAATGACTATAAAGATGCCCAACAACGATTTATTTACCAATATCATTGGAGGGCTGACATCTTAGATATGAAAATATATGTTCCCAGAGATGACAGATACAAAACAACTGCACTCTATGCTGCATATACTGGCGTCTTCTCTTCTACTTTATGAGCAGTTTTGTATCTGGGGTTTATACCAGCCAGTAGAGGTTCATTTACTTTTTGGCTGGCAGAGGGTCCAAGGAAATAGGGTTATAGTCATATCTCTGTGGGTTGTGCATTTCGTTAATGGAAAATCACTGCTTCTAGAATTTATACATTGACCAAGCTGTGAACTCCAGCTTATATTGACACAAATGAGCACTTCTATTGTCTTTCTTGGGCATATAAGCAAATACTTTTTATATTCATATCTTTAATGATTGAAACTGACTGATTATATAAACAGAATAGCTTCCTCATACGATGATTCGATTTACATTGCTGTCTAGCCTCCTTGTAGACTCAGGAGAGTGACAAACATTTAAATATTCATGGAGGCTCCTAAGAATCCCTTATAAAATTAAAATAGCTCTTCCTTTCTGTTCACATATCAACCACAAGTTAAATATTGCATCCTCCTCAAGTTTATTACATTCCCTGGTGGGGAAGCTTACTACATGGTGGACTCATTGAACCTAAGAATGAGAAACAAACTAAGTTCAAGGAATAGAGGGGAGAAAGAGGCCCTGCCTTTAATGCTGCCAGACCAGAATCCTACTTGACCCACTATAAGCGTAGAAAAAAAGAAACATGTTATTTTCATTTGACTTTGTATTAGCTCATGCCAACTCCAAAACCAATGGGTTTTGTTATCATGTTTTACATAGCTGCCCACTCATCTGCATTAGAGTTCCTGCAAGTATTGTATCAAAGGGCAAAGCTGTTAGCACCTGCTTGTAGTAGCCAAAGTTACACACAGGCCTATTTCTTTTTTTTTATATAAGGGATATTCTTTCAGGGATAGGAAAGTTGTTGTTTTTCTAATCGGATTTCTAAATATGCAACTTTTGCTACATAGGCCCAGTTATGTTTTTATGTAACTCTAAATTTTAGCTTTTCCTGACTTTGGGATTTAAAATGGTATCCTTGGTGTTATAGCCCAGAAATTGTTTACAGTGCAGTTTTCTTCAGCTTATTCTGAGTTTGAAAGATATCCCAGAAATCAAGATGAGAAGAAATTAAAGCCCTTAGTTTTGCTTTGGATCCGTATGTGGTTAAATATATATTTACTCAGAGAATCAAGGTTCCTTTTTCGAGAACATCACAAGGAAGACCTAAATTTGGCTGTGTGGAAGATGAGTTTCTAAGGCAGCAGTAGACTTTTAAAATGCTTTCGTTGTTCTTATGCAAATTATCTAAAGAGAAGATTAATCCTCAAAGCCATTTTTTGAATGCATCCTTGCCTTACAGAGTACTTCTCAAAATAAATTATATACCTGTGAATCTCCTAAAGATTTTGTACCAGAGAGGGTTTGTTTTGTTTTGTTTAGTTTGTGGAAATGGGTTCTCACTATGTTGCGTAGGCTCATCTTGAACTCCTGGGCTCAAGCAATCCCCCTGCCTTGGCCTCCCAAAGTGCTGGGATTACAGGTGTGAGCCAGCACACTGAGCCTAAGAGAGATGATTTAGTTGGTCTAGAGTGAGACCTAGAGTCTGCATTTCTAACAAGGTGACACTGAAGCTGCTGGTCCATGGGCCACATTTTGCACATTAAGGACATAGAATATCTGGTGACTACTGTGAACCACTTCAGTTTAGTGCTTGAACTATAGCTACCTAGATGCTCAGATAGCAGATGCCCCTTTTTCTCTCTCTCTTTTTATTTGCTTTTTTTTTTTTTGGAAATGGAGTTTTGCTCTTGTTGCCCAGGCTGGAGTGCAGTGGTGTGATCTTGGCTCACCGCAACCTCGCCTCCCAGGTTCAAGCGATTCTCCTGCCTCAGCCTCCCGAGTAGCTAGGATTACAGGTGCCCGCCACCATGCCCAGCTGAGTTTCTGCATTTTTAATAGATACGGAGTTTTACCATGTTGACCAGGCTGGTCTTGAACTCCTGAACTCAGGTGATCCACCTGCCTCAGCCTCCCAGGTTGCTGGGATTACAAGCGTGAGCCACCACGCCTGGCGCTTTTTCTCTTCAGTAGTAAACAGACTTCTGGAAAGAGGGCTCCTCCTCTCCCTTAAATTAATTCAGAGGGCAAGAAACTTATTATTTCATTAAAGCTCTTTCTTTTGCCTTGTAGGGAGACTAGTGTAGCTAGGAGTGGTAGAATTCAACCCAAACTCCTATTTAAAATATGGCCATGTTTAGAATTGTGTGGTGGTTTGGGAAGCAGCATTTAGGTTAGCTCAGTGATCATTTCAGGAAGGCTAGCAACCAGGCCACTAGACTGTTGGTACTACTTTTATCATGGGTTTCTAACAGAACCTCACCCATAGAGGTCAGTGGTGTACTGCTAACAAAGTATTGCCTGGTTCCTAATAACTGTATGATTCTCAACTCTATCTGCAGAATTGGTATCACACAATTACCAGTTAAAAAAAAATACTCTCTCTCTAGCCATTGAAACTACAAAGAAAAAAAAATACTATCAATACTTGAGTCCAGGAGTAATTAAACACCACCTCTGGGAGGCAGGACCTAGACATTGCTATTTTTTAAAAGTTACCTGGGTTATTTTAATCTTGCAGCCAGGGTTGAGAACATTAAACCAAATGAAATTCCAAATGGAATTAGGTAGAGGTGTTAAAAACTGATATCTAAGCCAAGACAGTGACCGCCACAAAAGAATCGTATTCTCGAGATCCTCTTTGGCAGTTCCTACAAAAACAGATATCTCTGACTTTACCTTTGTTCTTTTCCCTCTGAATATTTTCCTGTTATGATTTTCTGTGAGGCTATCCATCGGGTCAGAAGTTGACCGGAAGTTGAATTTGGCCAATTTAGATATGGTCGCTCAGTCCCAGGGTCCTTTTTATCCTTGCTTACTTGCCATAATTGGAGACCGAAAATCGAGGGCATTGTATATTTTGGATTGTCTAACCATTTTCTGTTCTTCTATCTTAAAACTTGATATTCATGAGAAGATATTTTTATTCTTCCTTTTTCATAGCCTGGTGATCTTCCCTTAGATCTTGTTCTGTTTCATCTTCTTTTACTGTCACACTCATGAAATTTGGCCAGGGTTAAGATTTAGTGAGTTGCAACCTTTTCCTATTAGGTTGGAGCAAATGTAATTGCGATTTTTGCCATTAAAAGTAATTACTTTTGCTCTAACCTAATAGAACTGTCCTAGTCAGGAAATACTTATCAATTTATTATTTATTTGTTATTATTACTAGTCAGAAATGCTTTGCCACAACATTCCTGAAAGCTATAGCCTTCTTCCAGCAATAATAGGGACTCTCAACATTTGTGATTCTTTAAAGAGGAGTTAGGGTGGGGCCATTGCTGTGATGTAAAGAAAGTAAACATACTGTAGCTCCCCAGGTGATTGGTTCTTGTATGCTTTTTTAAAGAAAGCAGTCGTCTTTGAATGGAATGCCTCTTCATCTCAAGACTTGGATAAAAATGGATTTCTACCTATTCTTTTTAGTCTCCTTACTAGAACATCCTTATTTTTTGCTTGCATTTCAGCATATTGTCTTTTGCTTGTACTCTACAGATAGTTTCTTCCATCTGTCAGTACAAACTGAACTATTGCTTTGATGTGGAGTAAATTCAAGTAATGTAATTTATGTAGTTGACCTGCTCTACATGTAGAGCATGACAGTTTACTAGTTAGGTATAGGCTTGCAAAGTAGTTATTTGGACTTTTTTGTTTCTTTTGGAAGCCATATATGTGGAGTTTTTTGGTTTGTTTGTTTGTTTTATAACTCTGGTACTTAATCTAAGAAACTGCTCGTTCTGAGTAGTGTGATTTTTCTCAACGTGCAGATCCTTCTGATTTGGTGTAGTGTGGGAGGTGACCTGATGCCCGTGTGTATAACTCTTGCATATGTGTTATGTGCTCATGAGTCTGACATCTGCGAGGATCACTGAAGTAATAATTGAATCTCGGTTATTTTATTGCCTTTACTTCCAGTCTGTCAGCAGAGGCCTTGGCTAAATTACAGCCTTTTGTTCATCCCAGGTGCTGTG